AGCCCCAGCTAGCTGCAGCCAGCTGCAGCCAGCCATGGCTAGCTAGAGCCAGTCCCAGCTAGCTGCAGCTAGCTGCAGCTAGCTAGCTGCAGCTGTAGCTAGCTGCAGCTAGCTGCAGCTAGCTGAGACTGGCTCTAGCTAGCCATGGCTGGCTGCAGCTGGCTGCAGCTAGCTGGGGCTGCTTGTAGCTAGCCATGGCTGGCTGCAGCTAGCCATGGCTAGTCGTAGCTAGCTGAGACTACCCCAGCTAGCTAGCTGGGGCCAGCTGCAGCTAGCTGGGGCTAGCTGGGCATAGCTGATACTAACTTTGGCTCGCTGTGGCAAGTCGTAGCTAGCTGGGGCTAGCCGTGGCTAGCTGGGGGCTGCGGCGGCGCAGTGTTGCAGCAGGTGCGGTGGGGTTTCCTGCTGCGAGTCTCATCTGGGTGTCTGCTGCTGCTGTTGCTGCTCCCGATACTGCTGCTGCTGCTGCAGGTCCACGGCCGACGTGCAGACTGTCTCACCGCTAGCTGTCCAAAATGTCTTTTAACGAACTATTTGAAAGTCAACTTGAATTAAAAATCCCAAATATTGTGAAATAAAACAAGAAATAAAGTGAGTTAAGTGTTAAAAGGATCCTGTGCTCGCTGGGGCCCCGGGGCTCCCGCAGCAGCGCCGGGCCCGCCGCTGCTGCAGCAGCAGCAGCTTTGTCTGAGGTGTACGTACAGCTGGAGTTGTTCCGCGTTTGTTCGGTTTAAACTTTTTAATTTAATTTGTTTTTTCTTTCATTTTATTTGTTGGTGAAGTAGAGCCCCAGGGCGCCTCCTAAGCTCAGCAGCCACTGGCGCCAACGCGGCGAGCGAGACGCCCAGCAGCCACGCTAGCCTTCCTCTGACTCCAGTGAAATCAATTACATTTAGTTTCAATAATAATAAAACATTAAATTATTTGGAAAATAATAAATTTAACTTTTCAAGAACCGCTCAGTAGTCCGCGCGCAGCAGCAGCAGCAGCAGCGGCCCCAGCGCCTGCAGACGCAGCGGCTGCAGCCGACTCGCAGCAGCGGGCACATGGAGGCAGCCGAAGGGCTGCTGCTGCAGCAGCAGCAGCCGCTGCTGCTGCAGCAGCAGCAGCAGCAGCCCCCAGAAGTGTTCCCTGTGGGCGCTGCAGGCCCTCGTGAAGGGGCAGCAGCAGCAGCTGCTGCAGCAGCAGTTGTGGCGGCAGCAGTGGAAGCAGCAGGCGCCACGGCCGTCGCAGCAGCAGCAGCAGCAGCACCGTCAGCAGCAGGCGAAGAGCTGAAGCGCGAGGCGGGGCAGGGCCCCGAAGAAGGGGCCCCCAGCAGCAGCAAAACTGCAGCAGCAGCAGCAGCACTCTTTGCCCTCAGCGAGGAAGACCTCAGGAACACATACACCCGCATCCGCCGTGCTGCTGCTGCACTGCAGCAGGAGCTGCAGGAGCAGCAGCAGCTGCTGCTGCAGCACGTGCGCCGCCGCAGGGCCCTCGACTTGGAGATCGCCGAGCTCAAGAGCCGCGCCAGTGCCCTCCCCAGCAGCAGCAGCAGCAACAGCAACAGCAGCAACAGCAGCAGCAGCAGCAGCAGCAATGACGAACAAGTTCCCAGATTTCTCAAAGAAGACCCTCTTGCTGCAGTCCCTGCTATGATTGGGGGCCTCATTGGCCGCTACAAAAAGCCGGCGCAGCAGCTAGGGGCCTCGCTGCTGAGCGGGGTGCAGCAGCTGCAGCAGCAGCTGCAGCAGGAGCTGCGGCAGCTGCAGCAGCAGCAAAAAAAGGCAGAAGCAGAAAGGAAGGCAGAGCTCATGGCCAAGGCCCTGCAAAGACACCAGGAGCGCCTCGAGCTCATGGAAATCCAAAGGCTCAAGAGCCAGTACCAGCAGCAGCAGCAGCAGCAGCAGCAGGAGCTGCAGCAGCAGCAGCAGCAACCGAAGCAGCAGCTGCTGCAGCCGCAGCAGGTGCTGCAAGAGCAGCAGATGCTGCAGGAGCAGCAGCTGGAGCAGCAGCTGCTGCAGCAACGCCAGCTGCGGCAGCAGCGGCAGCTGCAGCAGCAGCAGCTAATGCAGCGGCGCCAAGTGCTGCAGCAGCCGTGCAGTTCTGCTGCTGCTCGCAGCGTGGCGCAGCAGCAGCAAAGAAGAGACAGAGGGACTCTCATGGCGCGGCTTCATCGGCTCTTTAGCGATCCTGTACCTGCTGCTGCTGCTGCTGCGGAAGAAACAGCAGCAGCAGCGGAAAAGGCAGCAGCAGCTGCAGCGGCAGGGCTACCAGCAGAAGCAGCAAGAGTGAACAATGGGAAGCTTGCAGCGGCTATGAAGCAACAACAGCATCAGCATCGGCTGCGGCAATTGCCGCAGCAGCAGTTGCTGCAGCAGCAGCAACAGCAGTTGCTGCAGCAGCAGCAGCAACAGCAGTTGCTGCAGCAGCAGCAGCAACAGCAGTTGCTGCAGCAGCAGCAGCAACAGCAGTTGCTGCAGCAGCAGCAGCAGGGTGCAGCCGTAGTGCCCGCCACTCAGATATTTCGGATTTGCTCTGATGTGGAATCGAGCCCTGAAAAGTGCAGCAGCAGCAGCAAGGACACCAGCAGCAGCAAGAGCAGCAGCAGCAACAACGGTCGTGGAAAAGTTGCTGCAGCTGGGCAGCCGGCAGCATGCGCCTCTTCCGGTCCCTCAAGCCCGAGCAGCAGCAGCAGCAGCAGCAGCAGCAACAACAGTAGCAGCAGCAGAGGGGCGCGTATTGTGCGCTCTCCATCTGCTGCTGCTGCAGCTGCTGCAGCAGCACCTCGCGTGTCAGACCCCTCCTCGCCCTCAGCGGCGTCGCCCGCAGTAGCAGCAGCAGCAAGTGCTGCTGCTGCTGCGGGCGACGCCGCTGAGGGCGAGGAGGAGGCTGACACGCGAGGAGCTGCTGCAGCAGCTGCAGCAGCAGCAGATGGAGAGCGCACAATACGCGCCCCTCTGCTGCTGCTACTGTTGTTGCTGCTGCTGCTGCTGCTGCTGCTGCTCGGGCTTGAGGGACCGGAAGAGGCGCATGCTGCCGGCTGCCCAGCTGCAGCAACTTTTCCACGACCGTTGTTGCTGCTGCTGCTCTTGCTGCTGCTGGTGTCCTTGCTGCTGCTGCTGCACTTTTCAGGGCTCGATTCCACATCAGAGCAAATCCGAAATATCTGAGTGGCGGGCACTACGGCTGCAC